AGGGAGAAGGTAGAAAATGGAAGGAGACTTTGCAGATAAAGGGGATCAGGGAAAGGAGGCAGAGGCTGGCAGGTAGATAAGATAAAAACTGACCAGGCTTGGCATGTGCCCATCTCCCAAACAATGCAAGTATGTCATATCACAAACATACACAGAAAAATCAGTAACATTCAAATCCTCCTTTGCCCTTGTTGCTTTGAAAACATGTGCTTTTGCTGTCCCACTTAGCAGCAGTGAGAAGGATCTAGTCTGTTCTATCTAGCTCTTCCCCTTTCTCAAACTCCTGAACTTACATTTGAATGCAGAGGTGAAGGGGCTAGGGTGTCACACCGGGGCCAAGTTGGCAGAGCTCCACACACCAGGGTCTGGGTCTGGCCCCCATTCCCAGCACAAGAAAAAAAGAACAGAGATCCGAGAGAACAGACTTTCCCATAAACCAACCTCAGAGTTGGTACCACTTCTCTAAATAGAACTGAGCCTAAGTCATAATCAAAGAAAAACAAAAGAAGACAGCAAAAATGTTTAAAAGCGTTTGATGGCTGTGACACTGTGAAGTCACAGGTTGTACCTATGTGCATATTTATATCTGGTCTTCATCTCTATTTCCTGGCACAAAACTCTTAAAACCCTTAGCATCTCTAAAGTGCTAAGTGGCTTTTGGAGGTATGCTAATGAGTTCAGTGAGGACCACTGAGCCCCACATAGCTTCAGGAGGGGCCCACTAGCACAGGAAAATCAAGCCAGAATTAGTAGGTCAGAGCTTTCAGTCTACCCTCAACTTCAGGGGAAGACAGAGGGGCTGATAGTTGAGTTGGTCAACAATGGCCAGTACTTTTCTCCTTTATGCCTATGCAATGAAGCTTCTAGAAGAACCCCAACAGAGCTGGATTTGGAGGGCTTCTAGCTAGCCAGTGACATGGACCTTCCTGAAGGGGAGAGCCCTGACAGGATGCTGAAACTCCACACTCCTTCTCCATCTCACCCCGTGCTTCTCTCCCCCTGGTCCTTCATGCTTATGCTTGGCAGTATCCTTTGTATTACATCAGGAAACACTCAAAGTGTCGCCTGATCCCACGAGCCACTCTAGGAAATTTCTTCAACCTCACAGAGGAGCCCTCGTGTACAAATGCCTGGTCAGAACCACAAGCAAAATAACACGGAGCTTGCACTTGGCACAGGAGTGCAGGACAGCTGTGACACTGAGCCCTCAACCTGTGGGTTCTGACCCTACCTCCGGGTAGACAGCGCGGGCACCGATTTAAGTTGGAGGACACGCAACAGCTGCTTTGCTTGATCTGTGGGGAGAAATCCCCACACGTTAGCTCACAGAAGTGTTCCATGTTGCAGGAGAAAGGAGAAAGCAAGCTTGTCTTCTGCTACATGCATGACAAGGTTTATCTGAACAGGCAACCCACGAGCAGAGACACATGTTCCTTCACAGCCTGGCTCAGCCTCTGGGAGCCCTTCCATTTGCTTTCCTGAGTGAACCGCCTATCAGATCCACCAGGAGGGCTGCAGCCTGCAGCAAGGTCCTGCAAAGTCTTGTGGATCATCTGAGGTCACTCCTGTCCTCACTGGAGCAAGAAGAGGAGGAGAGGAGGCGTCATGTGTGGCCAGTGCAGCCTGTGAACATCAGATCCAATTCCTACATCTGCCACGGGCGCTGTGGGTGCTTTGATGTGTGTCCACTGCTGCTTAACTTTATCCCTCTCAGCAACATGACCACTCTCCCACCACCATAAATGACAACCTGCAAGTCCTAACAGCTAGAAGAAATGCCATTCAGAATAACCTGGCAAGGGAGGGCAGCAGGTGTGGCTTTGGGAACCCTGCTCCACCCTCAGATCTTTCTCTCATCCATGGCCTAGGTCCAACCCCCCAGAGCTGCTGTGCCCCTCCTCTGGTGCCACTGCCACTGGATGGGACACTGGTTGAGGAGAAAGAGACATAAAAAGTTCCTCAAAGAGCCTCTCAAACACTTTACAAATTTAGACAAAACCAGGTCCCTGCAAGTTCAAAGATTATGCTGATTGATTTCACATCCCGAAAAGCCTGGGCAATCAAAGAGTGAATGTAACTCCCTTGGTTTTGATGTGTCTTAGATCAACAAGCAAATATTTCATGAGCATTTACCATGTGCTTAGCCCTGGGCCTTTTACTGTGGGTGAGAAAGCAAAGGAGAAGATGCAGAATTAGCCTCAGAAAGTTGTTTTCAGACCTCAGTGTGCAGAAGAGTTACCTGGGGTGAGCTTCCTGGCTTTCCTTCCCTAACAGTTCTGGTTCATCAAGCCTGGTGCAGCTGAATTTGCAACCTTAAGAGCCACAGCCAGGTGAGTGAGAAGCAAGAGGCGCCGGGACTGGACCGCTGTTGAGAAGCACTGGCCTGTGACCCAGTTCCTCTCCTGAAGCAGTTCGCAACCAGATGGGGTGATGTCAGACACCCACACAGTGATGCACAGCAGTACACTTTCTATGAGGCAGCATCTAAAGGGCACAGGTGTTCACGAAGAGGAAGCAGACAGTAACGACCTGAGGGTCCAGCAGAGCTCGGTCAGGCAGAACTTGAACACAGAGACCCCCAGCCATTGTGCTAACAAAATCTCTTGATCCACTGAGACAAGGTGACCCCAGCACGAGCAGAAGCGAGGAGGAAGACCCGGGTTAGGAGACCGCCACTGAGCAGCCGGCGTGGCTTCACGTGTCCATCGTAGGGAGAACACACTCGCCTCGTCTGCAGAATCATGAAGCTGGCATTTCCCGGTAACACCGCGTCTGCATTTTCACTCTGCCGCATTCATGTGGTTTCCTGCACTTCATAATTTAACATTTGTAAGAGAGAAAAAATGCTGTTTTGAAACCCAAATAATGCACCACTCTGAGGCAGACAGCCAGCTGCTAAGAAGAGTGACATCCGAGCATCATTTAAAGTGTTGCTCACAGCTCTGCTTCAGAAAGGAGATGTTGGGTAAGAACGAAAAATAATAAACTGTGCCGAATGGAAAACAAACCACGGGGCTCCGTGGCATGAGCGGGCTGGGCCAGCAAGCTCTCGGAAGGACAGTTAGGTGCTCCTTGGAAAGAGAAGTGATGATAATTCAAACAAAGCCTATTGTGCTGATTTGACTACAATAGTCACAAACAACAGTGCCTCTTGTTTTAATGTCACCAGGAAGCAAATTATTAAGCACAAATTCTTTTTTGTTTATGTATTTAGGACAGGGTCTACAGGGTCTCACTACATCGACTGACTCATAGTGATCGTCCTCTTTTTCAGCCCGCCAAGCACTAGGGTTACGGGCACACGCCCCCGAGCCCAATCTCAATTGCTGTCTCAGTGCACCCCTGAGGGCAGGCCTGGCATGGCAGGTGGGGGATCGAATCCCCAGTCCTTGAGTCTGCCTTCGCAAGTGCTTTAATCTGCTGAGCTATCTGGCAGGCCCTTAAGCACAAGTTCTGAAAGCCCCACTTTTCCCAAAAGCTGGCTGTCATGACGGGTGCAGAGAAGGGACGCACTGGCAGGCCCTTTCCTCACCCTTGCTGGCATGGTGAGCCCTCTGCACAGGCTGACATGTCAAGACCACCCCATCAGTGTCAGGGGAGATTATTTAATTAATTTCACTACAGGGCACTCAATTTTAAATGTGCAAGCGGCCTCGGAGATCATGGACCTATGCAATGCTCTTTTCTTTCTGTTCGGGGGATTGAACTCAGGGCCTTTGCACTGAGCTAAATCCCTAGCCCTTTTTCAAACTGTGTTCTTACTTGAACATATGGTCTCACTCAGTTATAAAGTAGCTCAAGCCAGGCTCCAGTGATCCTCCTGCCTCAGCCTCCCAAAGCACTGAGGTGGCAGCTGTGCCCACCATACCTGCCCGTGTGCCTGCATTTCACACAGCAGCCATCCCAGTATGGTGCTGCAAGGCCACCATGACAGCAAGAGTGACCTGGGTCCCACAGGAGAGATATTTTCACTGTCCAGAAAACATCAAGGATGGGACTGATAAGAAAATAAAAATTCCTGGAAGTCCACATTATTCGGGAACATACTTTGCATTTTTAAAAACTGTTTATAGTTTGGAGTACTTGAGTTCCAATCCCTACACCAAGATTGTCTCTCAGAGAATCACACTCACTTAAGTTTCTTAAGAGTAAGCCTACCATTCAGTCTACATGGGAGGCCAAGGCAGGAGAATTCCAGGGTAGAGATCAAACTGAGCAACAGAAGAAGGCCCTGTCTCAAAATAACAGAAGGGCTGGGGGTGTAGTTCAGTGATAGCGCACTAGCCCAGCACGCGCAAGGCTATGGGTACAAACCCCAACGTTGCAAAACTAAAACTAACAGAAAACATCAATATAACAGCAATGACCAATTATTTACTTTATGAAGAATTAGAAGATTTCCAACACCAAGAAATGTGTAAATATTTAAGGAGACAGAAATGCTAACAGCCCTGATTTACAGGTGTACAGCCCTGAATACATATATCAAATTACCACATTATACCCCATTTACAAAAAAAAAAAAAAAAGCTACTAATGTGCGTTGGTTGAACAGGCCTGAGAACTCCCATCATTCTCACCTTTCCATCCTAGAGCTTGAAGAAGAGTGACAAGTTTATCACCAGATACAGTGTCTCCTCTAGGATGGCCGATCAATCCCTTACATAGTCTCCTAACCTCAACTGCACGTAGGATCTATACCTTGTTAGTGGGCTGTGTGTTTAGTTGTGTGTGTTGTTTTTTTGTTTGTTTGTTTGTTTGTTTGTTCCTTAACAACAAATGCATTCTCCCTAGAGCCTACTGCTCTGAAAATTTCAGAAACAAGCACACTAGGTTTCTCTGTTATTTTCTTGGCTCTGACCCTAAACATTTTCTCCAGTGTCCTGTGGCTTGGGTTATGGAGAAATAGCGATGCACTGCAAAGATGGCCCAAGGCACCAAATAAATGCTGCCCAGTGGAATTTAAAGCTAATAAATGTCAAGTCTTTCAGATGACTTACCAAAGACATTCGTGTTGCAAGCTCACCCTCGCAGGCTGGCGTCCCCTGTCCTTCTCACAAGCGGCAGCAGCCTTACTTGGGAGGCTTCAAAACAGACTTCTTCCCCGGGCTCCAAGGTACTGCAGACATACAGAACACAAAACACCGAGTCAGAATGCAAATGCCACTTCAAGCAGTTAGTGGATGTGCAGGGGAAATCCCTGGCCCTTCTCAAATGTGTATCTTACAACCTCAAACTAGCATGTTAATTCCCAGAACGAAGCTATCACACATCTTATCTATGTACTGTGCCTTAAAATATTGGAGGTGGCGGCGGCACGGAAGAGGAGAAAAGGAAACAAAGCCCTGCAAAGAGGCATCCTGAAATTGAGAGCCTACCCAGGTAGGAATGTGCTTGTGAAATTCCAGGTTTAATCAAATGAATGAAAGAAATAAAGGCTGCAGAGTGTTTTAGTGGTGGGAGACTCTGAAGTGCAGGAGTCAGGGGCAGAAAGTGGAAGAAGTTTTATCTCACACGAAAATTCCTCTGATCCTACCACCCCTTCAGACTCAGGCTGGCAGAGCAAATATCACTATTATATTTCACTAAAAAGCTGTGGTTACTGAACAAAAGGAGTCCAGGAAGAAATTCCCATCATGCACTGCAATTAGGGAATGGGCAGGTTTTCCTTGTCTGCCTCTTGATAAAACTTGATACATTCTTCCCCTCCCAAGATGGAAAGAAGCAGGTAGTTACTCTAGACACCAAGCATGACATCAGTGGCTGTGACCCGCGTGCCTCTTTTCCCCACTCACTGCTGCTGGAAAGCCTACACACTCGAACCACATGTGGCAAGGTCACTGCAAAGCTCTTCTTTGCCCTGGCCACTTTGAAGGCTCATTCATCACAGGCTGTGGCCCCAGTGTCTTCCCCTGCCTGCCCAAATCAACCCCATTGCTTGTTTTTTGACAATGGCCATTTGTGAGCCTGGAAACTGCCTTCAAAAATGTCTGCAGCCTTGCTTAGCCTTTTAGGAGCTCTTCTCCTCCCTCTATTTGGAAAGCCCACTGGGACAGTGTCACCTGGTATTGGGCAGTGGTGGCCACTTCATATTTACAACTCTAAAAGCTATACACATCACTAAAATCCTAAGGCAAACACCACAGATCAAATCAAGTGACTTGCTTGTAAGAGGCTGAAGTATGCTTCCCAAGGTCACTGCACAGTTAAATAACTCCTTGAAAGCCCTCTAGAGCTATTACTTTATGGAATGGTCAGTGTTTCTTAAAAGGACTTTTGGAGAGTTGTGACTATCTGTGGTTAAATTCATATAGACTCTCAAAACTGGGGAGGAGAAGCAGAAAGTATCTGTCTCTTGGTTAATGTTTAAACAAGTAAGTCCAGTTCAATACCATTAAAATTTCAGTCGAGTGGAAGAGCAGCTGCCTACAAATGGCAAAGTCTTTTTTATTTTCTTGATGCTATCAATACTCACAGAAAGTGGGGTTGTAAGGATTTTATTAGTTTTCTGAGCAGTTTTCGTAAAATGTAACTCAGCTCCCACTCAAATGTCTAACAGTAACATATTGATACAAATCAACATAAGCCAGGAAGTTCAAAGTCTGACAAACTGTCTAGTTTACGGGCTTAGTAAAAACAGAATTTGGAGAGAGAAGGAGGATTTTAGCAAACCCACTGCAAGTTACTGGCTGGTATCAATCTCTTTTTAAACTAAAAATAGAGCATTACAGTTCTCGGTTTTTGTTACCAACTTTATGTCTCGGTATTTAGAGTCAGAAGAGGTCTTTGCCATGTAATTCAACTTCTGCACATGAATCTGCTGGCCCGGGAGAGCCGTGTACCACTGCTAGTCGTACAGCAAGTTTATAGGTCCTTCGACTAGAGCCTGGTTCAATTACTCATTCCCATTGACTCTTACTGTACATAAAATCAATCATGTAATGTAATGTGGTTTGAAAAAAAGAAGCCTATCCTTAGCCTAACACTGGTTTTGGCTTGGTTTGGTTTGGTTTGGTATTGGGGATTTACCCTACAGATCACTGAGCTAGAGCTTTTGTTTCCCAACTTTTTAATTTGGGGACAGGCTCTCGCTCTGTTGTTGAGCCTGGCCTCAATCTTGTGATCCTCCTACCTCACTGCATAAGTAGCAGAGAGCATGGTATGCGCTGCCGTGCCCAGCTTCTAACTCTTCTTCACACTATTCTCTGTTTTGCTTTTGTTGTACAGAGAGACTCATTTATGGATTACATTCCTGCATCTGTTTTGGAGTGAAATCTGGAAGACATAGAAAGCTTCCATGGTTGGGGTCTGGAGAACAGGGCTCAGACTATGTGGAGGAGAGAAAATAAAACAAGGACTCATCCATGTGACCATAATTTCCATTTTTATTTATCACTGTAGAAGTGGAATCAGAAGTGGTTTATTTTCTGATTTGTGCCTGACCTTCCATTACACATAGTACAACAGGAACAAGGTGATTTTTAATCAAAAGAAAACTACTAAAACTTCTACGCACCAACTTTTAAGAAATAATTTCAATATGCTAGGGCTGGGAGTGTAGTTAAATTCTTGGAGCATGCTCCAGGCTTGGGGTTTAATCTCCAACAGTCACACATACAGGAGGAATAGACATAATTTGTGGTGCTAAGGACCAAGCTGAGGCCTGCTAGGCCAGTGCTACACATTGAGCTACACTCCCAACTCTAAACAAAAAGAATTTCAATGTTTCCTTCCTTCAACAAACTCTACACCAATGCTGCTAGTGACCAACAAAACACATCACCAAGCTTAATCTCATTGCCGGCCTACTGAAGCTATCATAAATGGAAGTAGGGCCAGAAAGCCAAAGAGGGAAAAGAGGGCCCAAGGCTAGAGCATTCATAGCTGTGCTCCATGTGTAAAAGTTTACTACATAAATAAAGCCTATCTCTTCAGAGAGTATCCTGACAATGTTTTCAGATTTCATAGGCATTTTGGTGACAATTTTCCAGATAGTTACAATCAGCGAAGTACTATATATTGACATTAGGCAAACAGAGTTGCACGAAAGCCATAAGACCTGTCTCTCAGTCTTGCTTTTATAGCTAACTACAAAACTATTTTTCCAGTCACCAAAGTAGAATTAATTCCCAATTTAGCAAATAAACAGACTTCAGTAGATAATGTCTACAACCAATTCTCATCTTCATTCAAGTTGTTCTCACATGTATTTCAACACTCCAAATCCAATACTATATCTACAAACAGAGTTATATTTCTTATGATTAATTTGCTCTTTTAGGTATAATTTTACTCTAAAATTAAGCAATGCTTGCTGTGCCGGCCCCATCCCCAGGGCACAATGAGAGGGTGATTGAGACTGGGCATGGTAGCATGCACCTATAACCACAGCGCTGGGGAGGCTTAAGACAGGAGAATCACTATGAGTTTGACCTGTGTAGTGAGAGCCTGAACACCCTGTAGACCCTGTATCAAATATATAAGAAAAAAAATGTTCAGATTCTAAAATGTATTTGGAAAGTCAAGTGGGCAAGCTGTGCAAGAGGAAAATTCGAAGATCCCTCCAAGGTTTGGACTCAATCATCCCCCCACTGGAGCTAGAATGACCAAGTTGGAAATGACAGTCAGGGGTCCGGGGAGATGGCTCAGTAGAATAAGCGCTTCCCTGGCAAGCACAAGGGCCTGAGTTCAATCCCTGGTTCTGCAAAAAAAGGAAAAAAAAGAAAAGAAAGAAAGAAAAAATAAAGAAAAGATGATCAGATAATCAAGGGTTAAAGAGACAGATCTGTCAATGTGTACTTCATAGAGGCAGATGGATAGAAGATTACACAGCACCAGTTACTCCCAGAGGCAGCCTCCATCAGGGTCCCAGGTACCCCTTCCAGATGGCCCTTTCCTTGTGAAGCCCTCTCCCCAACTGCAGACTGGATTTCGTGACTCACAAGTGGGGTGTGGCAGAAGTCATTGCCAAGACCGGGTACCAGAGAGACCACAGCTTCCTGCACAGGTGCATCTTGCATTCTTCTGGATTGCTGGGCCTAGGGAAGCCAACTCTAGGTCACGTCATTGTGGCCAGTGCCCAAGCTCACTTGGAGATCCCAGTGCTTGCCACCCATCCTTTAAGATTCCAGCTTTCCTACAGCCTTGTGGAAAACCAACAGCCTGGGAAACCACCTATACTACATGGCTGGTTCCCACTCATTGAAACTGGAGAGCTAACAAATACCTGTCTGAAGCTGCTAAGTTTCGCATCACTAAATACATATCAACAGATAACTCACATATAACTAGTAGATAAGTAGGACAGGATAGAAAAGGAACATTTTCTTGTTGGAAAAGCTGAAGCACAACTACATCAAATCATTTCCCCAGCATTATGCAACTGTGGTGGAAGAGAGGATCAAATTCAGGTCATCTGATTGCAGAGCTTGGCTCTTAATCTCAGCATCATACTATCCCTAGGACAGCGGTGTCTCCTACCAAGGATGCCCACACCTGAAAGCTGACTTTGCCCTGCAAAAGTGCTGACATCACACGCTTAATGCAGGCGGCAGAGCATATGGATCCTCAGCAACCTCTCACTTACCTTCTATAATCTATCTATCTTTGAGACTCCAACTGTACTCTGTCTACACTGAATTTTCAAAGAAAGCAGGAAGGCAAGGTAGCCTATATTGTAATGGGAAAGATAACTTGGCTATGATTCTTCAAGCTAAGTCAGGTTAATCTGGCTGATTTATCCATTGGAGAATGTCTGGCACGTTCTCCACACACTCTAAGGTGTGGTCCTACACACTGACTGTCCTCTGCACAGGCAAGCATTTCCCTCTGATGGCAGCAGCTCCCCAACTCCTGAGAAACAGACTCTCAGTAGATACCTGAAGCCACGCAAGGTACTGACCTTGTCTATGCTATGCTTTTATTCCTTTTCAATATAATTAATTAATTAACTAATTAATTTATTGGTTTTGTTCTACTGAGATAGTCTCACCATGTAGTTCAGGCTGGATTCAAACTCACTATGTAGCCCAGGCTGGCCTCAAACTCATGGCGATCCTCCTGCCTCAGCTTCGTGAGTATTTGGGATTATAAGTATGCACATCAAGTGTTGTTCAAAAT